TTACCACTTCACACAGTCATGGTGACATGGTCGTTTCACGGTTGGCTAATTATCTCACTAGGTCAGACACATTAAACGTTGGAGAGCTACTGTAATTTGTTTTTGTTCTAAGGTTTTTTACAAAAACTTTCGTTCTGGCGTGCGTGTGTAGGCTAAATTTCAAGCTGCATTTTTGTCCTAAACGTTTGATATATACAGTTATATATACAATTATATATACAGTATATACGTTTGATATATATAGACAGCTGATTATTTTATTCAACCCATTGTTAATGACTTTGGGTGCTGCAAATGGACTTCTCATCTTGTAATATTAATTTTGTTTGTATTTTCATTTTTTTATATGTGAAGGGTTTTGTTGTTACTAGTAAAGTATAATATATTTTTTCGCATTTCCCGTTTTTTTTAGATTTGTGTGTACCATTATGGCTAAAACCCAACCTTGACCTTCGATTTTTCCTAAACCAAAACTCCAAAAAATGTGTATATGTAAATGTGCTAATAACCCATTCTACAGGTCCAAATAAAAATATAAATCAAAACAAAAAATAAATAAAATACTTACATTATATTAGACACGTTTTAATGTGTGTTCAAGGTTGGTTAGGTTTGAGGAGGCGATGTCGGAGAAATATTTCTCTTAATTAATTGGCGGTCAATTTACATCAGTAGTGCTTCCTCTTTAGTTAGGTACTAGAGTGTAGTCAACAGTCTACAATTAATATAGCGTTTCACTTGTTTAAAATACTTTTAATATTTGAAAAATTATAGGAAATGCTTGAAAATTGTCACTTTGTTTTACATATGCCGAATGAGGCATGCTTTAAAATTCAGTTGATGTATGACGAGTATGTTGTTAAATAGAGGGAGTATGTTTGACCTTCCACTTTTACTTTTTTTGGCAGGGTCATTAACATGTGTTTTAACTATCGTGCACCACTCAATCGCACCCTGATAGAATAATAGATTACACGCAGTAATTAAGTATAGAAAGTTTGGTATACTCCTTTCTAATTGGATGCCAAAATGAACCTAGGAGATGGAGAGATAGATTTTGATAATTAAGATGGATAGAAGATCAGTTTGAGGTAATTCATGTTATTATTTATGACTATGTCCAATAAATATTGATTTAGTTTGGAATATCGCCTCGAAACTCGAGTTTTCCAAAACGTTCTCTTTACAGCCTGAAAGTACTGTAAACAACTCGCTCACACAACGGGCTTTACAAAATCATATCGAACTTTGAACATTAATCTTAGTTGAATTACATTCTTTTGAAAATCTAGAATTTCTATTACATATTTTACAAGCCATAAAATACTCGACTGCCACTTAAAAATTGAAATTCAACGTTTTGATCCAAAGATTGTTGAATTATTACAATATTTTTAACACCGTACATTAATGTTTGAATTGCACCTACACTGAAGTAAGCTTATAGACAAAGCTTGATGAGTTCCTCTTTCATTGAATGTATGATTTGTCATTTAAATTTAGCCTAAGACTAAGACATGTTTCATAAGTTGAACCATAGATAAAACATAGTCCCTTAGGACATATGAGTTAGGTAAGGGGCTATGTTTTATGGTTACCTCCCGCTATCTCCGCGTCCCCATATCTCCGTGTACCACTATCTCCGAATTTCAGAGTGACCCCTATAATCCTCGGTTACTTCCTGCTTTTAGACTTTCCAAACCTAACCTAACCTAACTTAACTTAACTTAACCTAACCTAACCTAACCTAACCTAACCTGACCTAACCTAACCTAACCCACGGGTTAAATTTTCATCAAATCTTCCATCCACGGGGCTTCGCAGCCATGGATGCAATGACAGCTAACAACGCAGTCAGTGACTGGATTATAAGGGTCACTCAAGAATTCGGAGATAGCGGGACAGATTTGGGTTCGGAGATATCGGAACGCGGAGATAGTGGGAGCACACGATGTTTTATCTATGGTTGAACCCATCATATTAATATAGAAACCCCTGTATAGCATATAGTATAATGTGGAATGGTGGTGTATCATATGTTTTCAATAAATATAATTATGTGTAGGTGATGACTAACATATTAGACTCTTTCTTCGATCCATTTATGACAATTTATATACCTCTGAGTGAAAGAAAGTGTCGTCTTTATCAGCTCGTCCGCCTGTTTGTCCAGTACTGCAGCACTATCTGGCGATGTGACAGAGAAACGTCACTTTCCCGCGATACGTGACGCCGGCGGTAGAAAGCGCGGGTAACTCCGCGGCTGCGCAGGCGCGGAGCATACTGGACACCGCGCATGCGTGTTGAAACGCGGGAGATTCGAAAGTCGATTGTTTGTACTAGTTTGAAAGAGACACTTTGGAATTATATAAAAACATAGGAGTGACTACCGTTTTAGGTTTATGTACCGGAGGAAGACTCGGTAAATTTTAAATTTTTAAAAGCATACTATTAAGTGAGATGAGTGTCAGTGACTTTTTTTTGCAACAGACGTGTCATGAAATGACTGTTGTAGTATAGTAAAATCTTCTTATCTTCCTAACCTTTTTACAAAGTGAGTCTGTTACAAAGCACGTTTAAACAAGTTGACAATATTAAAATTGTTGATTATTTCTATTAGAACGTTAATTGTTACGCCTTGAAGAAAGGATTTTTTATTGCAATATTTCCCATCACATAGGATTTTATATTCGTATTGATCTACATTTTTTCACATTGAAAATTTATATATGATACTTTTATTAGTTGATTGAATGGAATATTTGTAGTTGTGGCACAACGCGGATACTGTACATAATTTTCTGCTCGAATTCGAATGAATCATTATTTGTTTTAAATATTGGGTACACACTTGTGTTACTGTTAAACTAACTGTATGAAATAGTTTAGACAATAAAATGGCTAAATATAAAAACACTTGAATAAATTTAATAGACTTTTAATCAATCTAAAATTCCAAACACATTTCTAAAAGCAAGAAATAAATAATCCGCTTAACTACTACTCTTGAGAACTATTTTAAATCCTTTCCAATCGTCTGATCTTTAAATAAAATAGTATGATTCGTGTTATTGGATTCAGCAAAACGCCAATCTACAGGAGGTTAAACTAGTTGCTTAAATGTTCGATCAAATGACAAGGAAGCCATGAGATCGATCAACTAACCTTTGATCAAGTTGGTCAATTAAAGAGAAAGGATGAAGGATGGACTTCGACCTAGGACCTTGACTCGAGTCCTGAACTTTCAAAGTCCTGCAATTAACATGTTTCGCAACTGTCGAACCGTCTCAAAGTTTCCTTAACTCCTTAAGGACCTGTCGATTATTATTGGGTTTGCAGTTTGCACCAAAATGATTTACCACCTTTCTATAATGTAAGCGTGATGTAGAAGTATAGTACAATTTAAAATGTACCTGTAAAATCTAATTAAAAATTGAAAAATGTATGCCCAGATATAAACTACCCACAATCGCAACATGAAAGATATATAAGAACACTTGATTGCAATGATATGTTTTAATAGACTTTTTAACTCTGAGAATCTTTAATCATTCTACAATTGCAAACACGTTTAAACCATCAAATCAAATCATTTTTGATATATTTATCATTGTGAGCTTATTTATATGCAATATTTTATTATTAAACTTTACAACAATATTAAATATGTCCTAGAGTAAATTTTCAATCAACTTTAATTATTGGGTTGGTTAAGAATTGTGGGACTTAAAGTTGTTTCTCGTTATTTTGAAAAAACAACCGATTGAGGCTATATGATAACATTCTAGAAGTAACATGTATTTTTATTCAGGATACGTAATTCTTCGTCCTTCATTTGTCCTCTACACGTGCAACTCACCAATCATTGTAACTCATTTCTCTATGGAATATGATATCATACCTCTAATACTCTATGACTTTTCTGCTCTATGAGTCGTGTAGTTGCATCAATTTTAGGATGTTTTGATCGTGCATGGACTTTATGCATTAATCATTCGGACATTAGATATTCTTCGTTTCCTATTATTAACAGTATGATGTTATATTATAAACGTTTATTTTGCAAAATATTTTTTATCCCAACATTTACGAACATTTTAAGTGTAACTATCCGATACATATTGTTAGCATAAAATGATATCGAAAAAAATAAACCTTTGCTCCGTAGTGTGATATAATTAATCATCCAACCTGCAGGATTCGTAATATTATTTGTTTGTGTGTTGTGTGTACAATGTACACATTTTAAGATTGACACTACACACATGCTTAGCCACCCATTAAGTTTACATATTTACAAGATGTATAAAACAAAGATGCCTAAACTAATGTTTCTACTAGCCTGTAGGATCATCTATGAAGACCTCCCGAGGAAGCGTATGGACGCGAATAACGGTTGCGCACCTCCGTTGTTTTTGTAACGGTCGTATAGTTGCAGGCTTAAAACCGCAAGACTACTTGTACTTACTATTGTTGACACTTCTTACCCAAAAACTTGAAAATCCACAACTGTGCAACTAAAACTCATACAATTAGTATAGCCTATTTGTCAAAAAACAAATTAGTATTTTTTTAGATTGTTTTGTTGTTGTCAGTTATTAGTAAGATCACAAGATTCGCGATGTTTCTGGATCTAGATTTATTATTTTGTCTTCACATACAAGTATATAACTTATAACAAGATAATTACTCTATCCGGGATACAATGGGCCACACGATGTAAGAAAAGAAGAATTTTAATATATCAACCAACACTGTTGAATCAACGCACAAACTTAACTCAGTCCCATAACTCATTTGTATGTTAATACACATAATACCATAGACACGTTCCCTACCGACCGTTACACGCCTCTGTAACTGAGGGATGAGTATAGTTGAAAGCTTACACGAGCAACAGTGAACTAACTTATGTCTACCCTTCTCCTTTACGATATTGTAAAATGTTTTTCAATTTAAACTTTTTTTCCTTACTTTAAACTCTGTTTACATTTTTGCAGGCGTACGCGGCAAAGCGAGGCGGCCAGGAGGCGCTGCTGGAGGCCATGAACAACAAGTACTACTACTACACCAGGACGAAGGGATTGTTCAGGACTTGCTTCCCGAAGGAGCGACCCGCCTCCAGTGAGTAAACTACTACCCTTTGCACTCTTTTTATTTAGGTATATTATTAGGTATTATTTGGGTATATTATTATTGTATTAGTGTGTATAGAGTAGTCTGTGCTCTACCTAGCATAACCTCCGCATAGTTATGCTGGCCTAAATGAATTAGAGATCGCAATACCCAAATCTGACAATAGTGATCTAATTTCATCCTATTAAAACAATAGAAACTTTCACTGACTACATTACGAAAAAACGTAGAAACGTTTTATCCAATAGAACAGGGTCACATGATGGTTTAAGGTGTTTACTTTTTAAATTTTATCATAAAATCAACAATTTTTAAAAAATATACAATAATAAATTCTTTTATATCCATTATGTTTACCGACTTTTTTGTTTTTAAGTTTTTAATTATATTTGATTTGATACAAAATTGCTTATTTAACAAAGTAGGCTTTTTTCAATTTTGTTGATAATTTTTTCATACCCATTATTATATTGACCGATTTTCAGTAATAAAATGTTTATAAAAATATTAATTTAAATAATATTATAGTACCTAAAACTATTTTTTTACAAGTCTGTAGTAGGCCTACTAATCAAATTTAGCAACACACTTACAGTATTTTTTGTTTACTCTGATCGCTGTACTTTTCTTGGTGTCCTTTTTGTGCGATTTGTCACAGCAAGGTGAACATGATCGTTGCATCACATTACTTTCTAGTCCTCATAACAATACCATTAGCTATTAGTCTTTGTTTATAGTGCAGTTTTTTTCTGTCTGTAATCTTAGATCTCTCTTTTGGGCGTCGGCGGTGGTAAAAACTAGCACAGAATTTTGTATGCTATAAAGATGCTATTAGTTTAATGTTTTAATTACATCATTGTTGTATTCAATAATTTGTGATGCAGTATAATTCTATTTATATTGGCGGGCAGTAGGGGTTATAAGATATACCACACTATACAGATTTTCTAATTTTATTACATATGTCTACATTATTGGGACTGGTGGGTCATTGAGTCCTACTTATGACAGACATTACGATCCGCGTCTCAGATCTTCGACCTTTGACCTTTATTGACCAACATAGTCCGCGTGCCTATGTATCTCCCTACCACAGAGAATGGGGCAATTGTAGGCAGCAAACCAAGGCAAGAGCGTGCTTCTACTGTGTCACACAATACTGTCTTCTGTGCCTCTACTGTCAGTTTGTCTTTAAAGTCAAAATGAAGCTACATTTTATGAGTAAATTCGTAAAGCACGTCTTATTTGAAGTTTTCTCTTTGATCACATTGTAACCAATATCCATAAACTCATGGTGAGAGCCATGAGCATTGTTAGTAGATTTTACCTCATTCTACCAACAGGATATTGAACAATTTCGGTGTAACTGGCCATTCCACTTTTGACCAAAACGACTCCTAAACATGCCATTGAGGCATTTTAAGAGAATCTCGTCACAACAAGTTTTCCGTCGCTGGAGGGGGTTGGGAAGGTCAGTGGGACGAGCAAGAACCAGAATCCGAGAACGGAGGAAAAGAGAAAGCGCAAATACTCAGAGGAAGTAGCTAAGTGCACCGGAACCTAACCTAGCCTTAGTGAGAAAACGGCAATAAAATACCACACCATTGAAGTAGGCCTATACCGCCTTATTTGGTAAATCACAATCTCCCTTGGAAAGTTGAAGTGATAGTTTTCGGTAAAAGTGCTGTAGATGTTTCAAAAGTAGCTTGGTACATTGTTTATCCTGTTGTAAATAAATTAGATTGCCAGCTAATTGAATTCAAACAGTTGTATCATTTGACATTTTTACAGTTTTGTGGGTACCGGTAATTTTAAGACAATTTGAACGCTTATCAAAGTCTTAATCCGGAAATAAGAAAGTGAATTTCATCACGACCTGTGAAGTGTTTGTTTGTTGTCAATGTTTGTTCGTCTCCGTGACAGATTCGTTACTCAACAGTCTGTGCCTTTTCATCCGTGACTTTCTCTCAATTCAATCCCATCAACTTCAGTTTTCTCCATTATCGCTAACATGGATCTCATAACTTGAGCTTGTCATGTAGACAAAACTCGTGATTTGTCTGGCAAGGTTTACTGTTTCGCAGAATCCTCCAGAGCATCAACAGCTAAGATTGTTTTACTATCAGAATCGGCAGTTACGTCGTTTGACCAATGACCCTACAACCTCCAGCGAAACCACAGATGTTGATTTACCCCTGAGAGATCAGCCTAAGCAACCCGCTATCTTGTTTCTTCACCGGTGAAGACAATGGCACGATAAAACCCACGGAGTTGCTCCTGAAACAATGAACGAAGCCCACGAGTTTCAACGTTCGTGACCTACTCGTTGGTTCGAGCTCTACTCTCTTTCTACCCTCATTTTCGACTTGACTTCTACGTGTTGTATTTCCAGATGATGAATCAAAAATGCTATATTTCACACTGCATTTCACCCAAGGGTTTTGATGAATTTTGCAGCTTTGATACCTCAAACTTTAATGGCCCTGGAAGTTAATAACATTTTTACTTACTAGTCTAGTTATAAAGATTGAGTTATGTATACTGTATCTTCATTTGTATTTAAATTGTAAATATGAATACAGTAAAACCTTGGATGCTGAAAATTCGATCATCAACTATCAGAATATCTTCTATTGCCTTATAGAAATGTTAATTTTACACCACCTTGTTGACCTTAAGATCTTTGCCTGTTCGAAACTGGATCAAGTTAGGCTGTCCGCTGTCTACCAGCTTCATCTTTGGACTTTTATCCATCGGGAACTTCAGAAATCCAGCTGGTCTTAGTCATTAACAAAAATTTTGAGGCCAAAGCACAGCATCCATTTTTCAATATTTGGCTTAAAGTAGGCTTAAGATCCCATTTAACTCAATCATCTTCCCAGGAAGTAACCGACGTAGTTTTGCCACCAACTTATGTTTCCCAATTAAATTAATTATGGACCTGAAAGACCTGTTTAATTACGTTAACTGTTACTCATTTAAGTTATGAAACTCTATTTCACCAAGCCGCGGCGTCGCTCGAGATTGCAGTGGGCATTGAGCACGACTCTTCTTCTTCTCCATTCTACAGTTCTTCTTCCTCCCAGTCTAGCTCTGGATGGAGCGTGTGCGGAGTGCGGGTTATGCAAAAGGCGAAAGGTGCTTCAGTTCCCTGCTGTTACCAAACGAATAATTGCTGCATACTTTCCCACACCAATCCAATACATGTATCGCCTCTGCCTCAAGGCTCTACTTGTCCTGTAACATGTTTCTTACTGGGTTGTTTTTACAACACTGGCAAGGAGATAATATTATGGCAATCCTAACCAACACAGCATAGTTCAATTCATATTTATTCTGATTGGATTAAACATGATGGTTAGTTTATACATAATTTGCCTCCAGGATTGATCTATTGACATAAAATGAGGTTACTAACCTGTCGTCAATCAGTCCTCTATTGTCTTTGATGACTATAGTTTCGGGGTTATAACCCCATTTTCAAATCTTTTTATGATGGTTAGGCCATTTGTATGGGCTTGTTTTCAAAACTAGTATTTTGTATTTGAGATACTAAAAAATACAATACAGTTACTATTTTGTTCCATGTTAAAAACACTTCAACTTACCATAATTATCATCATTACTTTAAAACAGCAACGCAAACCTAAACCTAAATGCTCATTTAAAATTGAAAGTGAACGAACAATGAGTATAGAATAGAGCGAGATGATTTTTGTTGCTTTAGTTGCTGACAAATACCAGCTATTTCATAGAACAGTTTTATTAAAAGCCTAAGATCAAGAATAGTTGGATTCAGATTCGCACAGTCAAAATGCTGCTGAAGTTCCTAAGGTATGAATTTGCGATTGGGATGATTTGTCGGCACTGGCACTATTTATTTTAAGGGGATGATCGGCTAGAGGCGTGATTATTCTAGTTTTTTCTGCGAAGATTGCAGGAATTCGCAGAGAAAGTTGAAGGAAATAGGACAAATCCCAGGAAGGACATGATGTGATGATGATATCACTCTATTGTGTTGCATGGTGTCATGAGAGAGGAGTGGGCCTGCCTCTGTGTGCATACATGGGCTGAGGAGGAGTCTTTACAAGTCAAACAATTTTCTCCATGCCTATTTGATGGTTATACAATAGAAACAAAATAGCTTTTGATCACTGTTTGTCAACTTCTTTGTGATTCTTTGTGTGATTTTAATACTTGTCTAGTTTCCTACGACCATAGACAAATAGAATAAATATTAAATATTGAATTATGTCAAAGGAAGGTTCCGCGATGTGCCGCTAAGAGTGCCGTGTATTGTCTGCTGGTAGCATACGGCTCCTGCAGCGGTGTGCGCCGTACAGTAACTACACGACACTCCTAGTGGTGGACGCCGGAACATATGCTAACTACAGGACTGCTGTCGGTCTACGACTAAAAACATATTTACATGATCCTCAAAGCACAATGATCCAAAAGAATCTCTTAATTAAGTTTTCAGAACATTCCCATGACGCTGAGGACGTTTATTATTGCTAATAGTTGACAAAGTCTAATATGTAAAAGTAGTTGGTTTTTACCTAATAGGAGAAACGTAAATATTGGAAATTTTGAAACGTTATTCTGAGATAAACACTCATGTATTGTTTGTGTAAACACAATGCTTACGTAGACAACTATCCGAATTACTTTCCCACGGTTACAATAACTCTAATTCTCTCAGTTAAACGCAAATTAAAACCTCCCAAAACCTATAAACCCCATACTTGTTGTGGCCTACATGGTAGCATGGATGAGATGAAAATGCAAGAAACTAGTCTGGATGGAACTAGTCTTAACAAATGTTCGATAAGGAAATGAAAAAAAAACAAGCCTGTCAAAGCTCATACAACTTTAACACTTTTCTCCTTATATAACGTCAAAGTTTTCTGCTTGAATATTCAATTGTACAGTCCTTCAATTCAAATGTGAAGGAGTTAAAATTTCAAAACATGAAACCGCTTTGTCCAGTAAAACGTATATCAAGTGCAAGTGTTTTCACCAAGAACTGTGTGTTGCTAGTCAGGTGGTTTCGTGGTTAGCTTCTTAGACGGCAAGGACCAGCAATGGGAAAAGGTTCGATTACAGAATATCCTCAACAATTTTAGATTGAACTGCTTTTAAATAGATTAGTGTCTCCTCAACAAAATACCACTGAAGTAGACATGAAAACAACATTCCTTCAAGTTTTTATGAATTGTATTAAAGCCTAGACATGTAACGGTTTCACCGGCGGGCGACCTTGTATGATCGTTGCTCAACGGTTGTAACATGTAATTAGAAGGAAGCATTGTTTTGCGACGTACCACGCCCATTGAATTAACATGAAGCCTATCTTCGCGTAAAATAAAAACAATCTTGACTTCGGTGGATCTTTGTCAGAAGCCTGAAATTATCGTGATTTCGTTGAACTTTGCTTGATGTGGCTTCGTACGTTTTTTAATAAATGAATAGTACTAGAATTTGCAGGATTATAAATTGCACAAGTGCAAGACTGTTTTGTCTTGTCTAATATTGTAAATAAGTGTTATGTAAAGTATCTACGTATGTTTTCATATTCATAAAGGGCAACACATACCTAACCTTCCAACTTCAAGGGTCCTTTCAAGAATATGTTTGTCTGGAACCTTTTACTTCATCACAACAATTAAAGGAGACAATACTGAGAAGACGATTTTATATTTTAGACAGTAATGTACAAATAAACTTGAATGTATGTAACACAAACCACACACTCTAGTCGACAGAAACTTTGTCAACGTTTATCTCATTTCCCAACACTACACATCATTATATATCTAGACCTACCACGATTTCAAAACCTAATACGAGAAATGATTTTGTTATTGGCTTTTATAATCTAATACTTAAAGGCATTAGAACAAAATCTTGAATCCCCAACTCATTTAATTCTTGGAATAACGATTTTTCTCAGATATCCTGCTTGACTGTTATACAGTCAACTGTGTCAAACAAATGATTAGTAGAAACAGCGCGTTAAAAAGTCACTGTGGACGTGTTCCAACGTGTAGTAACGCAAATTCATAGCAAGGTTTCTGAAGAATTTCGAAATTATGTCTGTACATTATATAGTATGTCCAATGGAGATGGGGACACCACCTAGGTGCTTATTTTCAACCAAATATGAGTGATGATGGATGTAGCATAGAGTTAGATGTCTTGTGCAGCTTTGTAACTAACTCAAATTAGCTATGCCACCATTCTTTAAAAGCCCACTAGCTTAAGCTCCAGAAACGAATCCATCAAGTACACATTGTATACCTAATCTATAACATTTCTGCACTATTTATTGAAATGTAAAGCAAAGTAACGAATTCATTAACGGCATGCCTATAAACCAGAATAATATCCACGATAAACTTAAGGCTACATCTAGATGATATAGCATTTCTGAGATGAGACAAAAACGAGCAAATTAACTACAGACCTATATCAGTTTGCACTATTCTTTGTGAAGCGAGCAAAAACATGAATTACGGCTCTATAACGTCAGTTCTTTGATCTCTTATGAATGTTACCATCACGGTATCACGGTAGGTGTCTAACGCCGTTGGCCGTGACGGAAGATTAACAGTTATCCTCTTCAACGCCGCCAGGACGCCGAAGGACCGCTATGCATACTAACACAACACCCGCGAAACGACATTCCTTGTAGGGCTCCGCCCGGGGACTGCCTGCGGGACGCGGCCTACAGGAGGCCTTCTTGAAACTTAATGTTCAGTCTATACATCATGTTAAGGATTGTGTATCAAACGTCTCTTTGTTTTGTTCTTTGGAAAACCTAAGTATCGAAAGTTTTGTTTTTGAGTTATTCCAAGGTAATTGATTAAATCTCCATTTTCTAGTTTCTTTTTAAGCTGGCTTGAATAAATGTCATGTAGCCTAAATGATTACGTTATGGTCTAAATATAAATAACAAAACAATATCATTAGATTTTACATTATAGAGGAGCAGAAGGTTTAGAAATTTTTAAATACAGTAAAAAATGCGCATTTTGTACCCTAACAAGAAACGTAGAGAAAATAATAATAAATTTTAGATTTGTGGAATGATGGAAGAAAAATATTACTAGAACTGCTTTCATAGCAGTGAAAGCCAATTGATTGGAGCGATCACGTTTCATGGTTTTTGATAAAGCAATAAATAAAAAAAATGATTGCATTTGGCTTTTCGACGAATCTATGGGGAGTATGTTATAAACTTAAAGTTTATCGGTTTTACTTTATACCTGTATGATATATAGACATCAGGAGAAAATTTCACAGTGAAAGAGTTTACCTTGAGGGTCTGTGGAATCTTCTGTTATCAGCTGTTTTCGTTTGGCTAGTCAGCTGGTTTTAGTGGAATAACGGTTTCTGACTCAGAAATTCTGAAGTTAAGGAATGCAGCAGTAGCAAGCAGGAAATGAGAAAATAGCTACCAGATTTCTTGCCCCTGTCACATTATGGAAATGTTAGTATTTGTGAATTTTATTCCTCACCTTCCGGATTTCAGCTTAAGAGAGGGTGAATTCAAAGTTTTGAATTAAGAATGCAGACATATTTAACACTTACGAAACTCTCTACATTTAAAAAAAAATCAGAGGTTATAAGGAATGCAGTAACAGACAGGAAATAGCTGTCAGACTATGGAAATGTTATTATTTGTGAATTTTTTCCTACATTTGGAATTTCAGCCAAAAAGAGGGTGAATTTAAATATATTCTAATTTAAGTTTCTAAATAAAAATGCACACAAAATAAAACTTGTATAAACTCATTTACCTGATAATTTTATCAATTAATGTGAGCCACTAGCACTCAAAAATTTTCCCTTCCCTTAGTCCGGAATTCATCTTAAAGTGGAAAGTTTGCTTGGACAAATTGCAATCAACCAATTCAAGATATACAACTGAACTTGGTTAGGCCTACACTTCTGTGTGGTACTGGTTATGCTATATTTCAGTTATTTAATTGGCTAACCTTGTAATGTTTGTTTCTAGTCGAGACCTACCTGAGTCCTGTAGAGACCCACTGCATCAACATAGAGTATTTCCTCCCTGATGTAGACAACCAGACCAAAGGATTCTCAGAAGACGCCATGACTAGACTACGTAAGTACAGAAACTGAAAATGATTAAACTACGGTTCTCTTGTGAAACTTTTCAATAAAGTTGATTTAGTTGAAGTTACTCCCTGCAATTAGAAGTTACTCACCTTTCCCCGGTCCTGGGCAAGACCTGGTGCAATAAAATTATTCCTTTTATCTGGCTGTTAAATTATAATATTTGATGACAAACTATTATTAATGACTCCAAATGTCTGATTGGGCCCAGCAGCCAATTCAGAGTGATTTATTGATGATGCTTTCTAAGTGGTTGGCCTCTATCATTAATAACCAGCTCAACGGGGTTTGGACTGTTCCACTTTCAAATTTGTTTGCAAAACTGTTAGAACTCTTCACTAGAAGAAACCTGCATTTGACTACATCATTCTAAATCTGTTTACAAACCTCTTATCTACAAACTCCTCAAATCTAGAGATTTTAAAAGTATGTTTCATTGTTTTTATCCTATGCTGAAGCTTCAGTGTCATAAAATACAATTTTTTTGCTGAGAATGATGAGTATTGTTCGTGTTTGGCTAGCAAGTGTAAAGGTCACAAAAAGGTCGTGATGAACTGAGTTGCATCAGGATGAACCTTCATTATCCTCCAGATGTTTAAAGGTCACTTTGCTGGAATTGTGTCCTTGAAACCAGGCTGGATACTATAGTCCATGGAAGACTATGGCAGGATGCATGAATTTAATTCAACATTATTGTTGGTGGGGGAAAATGCTATTGGTATACTTAAGATTCTCCTCAGCTATTGTTTCTTAATTTAAATTTGGCAATAAAATAGTTTTCGGATGGAAATCAAACCATTGTATTGAGTTTTCAGGAATAAAAAATTCTGTAAAATCCAAAATTGTAAAAAAAGAATTTAATGTATTGTTTGATAATGGTTGAGAAAAGTGTTATTCTAATAAATAAAATCTGTATAATTGACTGTAAATGTTAGTCAAAAGCTGTTGAAATATATTTGTTCAACCGATACTCAATATAAACCAATAAAATTACGTAGTTTTTTTCGCTAGTGAGAGTAGCCATTGAATGAAGTAGTTAGTATTCCTGACTTTTAACAAATTTTCCAAACCTCCTGGAAGGCTTTAAGAAAACCATTTTGAATTTTCTAACACTTTTGTAACCTTCTTAACAATGTTGTAATAAGACAATATCAAGGAGTTAGGTAGACTATTCATGATAATTGAAATGCGAAACAATCACTTATCCTTAGGTTCTTGAAGGGATCCAAATTTTAAATGTTTTTTGAAAACTTATATGGGTCTATGCACCAAGTTCAATTTTGCTATTATTTGTCCAAAGGAAAAACAAAGATGTTTTTCTTCATCCAAAACCATCACATCTCACATCTCAGTTTTAGATTTGAGTAATCCATCCTAACTGTTCTGATGTGTTACAGACATGGGTCGGGCAGCCATCGCCCTCTTCATTGTGGCATTCTTCTCCATCTTCGTAGCGTTCTGGACAGGCATTGCTGGCTGCTGGAGGAGAAGTCCAGGGAACATCACTGCAACTGCAATACTGATATTATTGGCATGTAAGTAAACCACAATACTTCTCAACTTGTATGCTTTTTAAAATAACTATCAAATTATTTGAGAAAGTAGAAAATTGTTGGATGAATGGGACGAGTTGCTAGTAGAAACATTTATAATAAATGTACTTTTAACTTTTCATGTTTGATCACAACAGCTAGGGCAGCCCCGAAGCGCTGCCGTGCTTGATTTATCATAGATAATTTTGTAGTTAAAACTATTTTTTTTTTATACCTGACAATACCATTGTTTTAGGTCTTCTGAGCGCAGGAGCCATGGGGCTGTGGCATGGTGTGGAATATTATGAGAAAGAAAGAGTTGTCGGAGAAGAGTTTTACCAGCAATGGAACAATGTGAGTTTACCGGTTCTCTTTCTGTTGAGATATCTGTTCACCAATGAGTATTAACTACTTTAGAAACAAATATTTTGTTTGAACTGGTAGAAATCTAGTTTAAACATTTGAGAATTAATGAAAGAACAATTTATATTGACAATTCAAAAGTGTCCTGAATTTAATTAAAAAAATGGCAAGTCTTTGAGATTTTGTTATACAAAATACCACAGGCACTATAGTAGCATAGTAAACCAAATGATAGCCTGGATAATTCAAAGCAAATATTGTCTGAGGAAACAGAGAAAAGTATCCTTCTGTTTTTTTGTCTTACCTAGATGTGTCATTTACTTCCGTAGTCTTTGTTTTTAATTGTTGACGATTTTCAACAGCTAGCTAACAAATATTTACAGGCCTATAAACAGATAGCCTACTACTGAGTAATGTTAACAGTATATGCCTTACTACACTATAAGAAATTTTAACAGTGGCGGGTTCAAGGGGGGGGGGCAAAGGGGCTATTGCCTTCCTCAAGACTTTGGTACCAAATAAACCTAGTTAAAATACAGTATAGTTTTAAAATGCAAAAAGTGATCATGTTTTTGTCTCTAGATTGTCTAAAAACAAGAGTTATCAGTTGAAATTTTCCAAAATCCGGACACTTCCTTTACACCATACCCCCTAGACCCCCCCCCCCCCCCCCCCCCAACTTGGAAGTTCACCTTTACAATCATGCCCTGGATCCGCCATTGAATTGTTATCATTCAATTTGTTTTGTCAGACAAAATTTTAACCCTCTTCTCATTTGAATCTGATGATACCTTGTCATTACAATTCCATCCAAATCTTGAGGGCTATATTGTCTTGCCATCGTTAACAAGGTGTTCACAGGTTTTACGAACTGAGACCCGTTCAACACACGACTGGTCGTACATGATGGCGTGGACTAGTGTGGCGTTAACGTTCATCTCCTCTGTCACGTTCTTCTGCGCGGCCTACTGCATGAGGTCGGAGAAGGATGAAGAAGAAGCCAAGAATGTGCAATATATCATGCCAGGTTGTCTCTAGACTTAAGTTTCACGCTTACAAATCTGCCGCATGACTTGCCCTAATGCTTCTCTCACTCCAAGGTTATTTAGTAGTGGCTTGAAAATGTTGCTACTCTTAGGTGAGGAATTTAACATTGCTGTTTTGAGGTTATGTATGTTTTTTTTTATGTAAGAAACCATGGAAGAAAACCTAACCTCAACACAGCATCGTTAGAAATTCAGCACCTATTGTGTAGAGTAATTTGAAATTTATAAATTGTTCACAAGTTATGTTTGACTTAATCCAACACCCTTCACATCTGTTACATTTTTTATATGGACAATTATTCTTACTTGGTCAATAATTAATTGTAAATGTAAACTTGGCTACAACAGTGAAGTTGTTTGACAGAATCACAAATTTACATTGACAATTAGTTTAGATTATTTTTAAAAGTTTTAGATCAAGTACAAACATAAATGTGACAGTAGATAGAACTAACGATTTACTATTTTGTATATAAAAAATTAAATTCAGGCTTAACCTTGGTAATTCCTCACAGAAGGGGTACTTTGGCGTTTCATATCATATGTAACTGCTAAAATTTATTTTGCTGCCCGATCTTTTGGGTTTTCTTGCTTGGTTTTTCGTAGAATTCTTAATTGGCAATCATTTAATTTTTAAACGTTTTATACACTATTGAAAACAGTTTTTTATAGTAAGGCATTTACTATAAAACAAGTTTTAACATAATACTAGAGGCTTTTTCAGTTCAACTGAAAATTGGTTGACTTGTTGCTAGCCAGTATTTTTGCTGATTCTATTCTATGACACCTAGAAATTTCCTGAAGACCCAAGTTCACAACCTAACCTATCTTAAGTAAACCCCCAAACTAAAGTAAACCTGTTGTTGTTGCTGTTGTTGTTGCTGGGTTTGTTGTAAGTAAACCTTTCTTATTAAATTTGATTTGCCTCACTATCAAATCTTATTTCTTACGTGGCATACCCTCAGGGAAACATTGTAAAGACAATTATTGCTTGATTGAAATTTTCAAATGTTTAAAAGATGGTAGAGCTAGGTAACGTCCAGTTGAAACAATAAACGCAAAAAGTTAGCTACTAAACGCTGAATGAAAATCACAGCTTTACTTGTTTGAGTCTTTCAAATTTATATCTTTACCCAAATAGTGAACAATGACTATGACCAACCCCAAAGTACCCTCACCCCCTCACATGTGGCTTGGTTTGTAAGCTTCTTAAGTCTATTTGTAACCTGGTTACTGCTCCGTTAACCTTCCCGGTTAACATTCTTCCCCCTCTGTCCGGTGTAGGTACTTAGAGACTCGACCTACCAAGGATATGATTGGTCCTTCTTCCTGGCCTGGACGGGAGTGGGATTCTCACTCGTGTCGGCTATCTTGTTTTCTGGGGCCGCTATTTGTTTGCGAGGAGAAAAAGAACAAGAGGAAACTATCAACATGCAGTATCTGATGCCTGGTAAGATATCCGTAACTAGTTGTTGCTTCTAACCACATGGAAGTAGAAAAAATAGATGTAAGAGAGGTGTCTTCTTCATTGTGGGAATTGGTTCTACAGCTTTAATGTGTAGTTTTCGGGCAGGCCATCTGAACAGTAAAGACAATTTAGGTGAAATTTATCTGAACTGCTGTGCAAAAGACTTGATTTGTGACAACCTGATTGCAAAGGGCTAAATCACTTGAGATAAATCTTGTTGCTCTGAAGAAAATCTCTCTTATAAGAATTAGGATAACATAAGTGGGTTTGCGATAGTTGTTCTGAAAACCTTATGTATCCTAGAAACTCAGGCAAAATAGTGGGATTTTTAACAACATAAAAATAAAAGTTTTATGGATGAAAGGAGTAAAAGTGGGGGGAATTTGATTGGGCAACCTTTGTCCTTTGGATTCCTTTTCTCTGAGTCTCTTCATTACAGAAGTCTTTACAGAAACGCTAAGGCCGGTGACAGACTATCTGGTTTAGCAGGATGCGGTTTAGCGGGATGCGTTTTTACCGCATTGACATTGCCCTGTCACACTTGTCCCGTTCTACCGCAACATATTTCAAGTTAAGAGCGTGAGCATCACATGCAGTGCACTGTTGATAGCGACAACATGTTGTCTAAAGTGAAATTTGTCGGTGCAAAACCTTATGTAGGCGTTATTGGGTACACCATTTTCATTGCGAAAATGATAGAGATGAACAGTTTAAGAGTTTATCAAAGTATAAGGCAATATCCTCGCTAGTTTTTTAATTATTTTAGAATGTCCATCACATCTTTCAATGAGCTGCTGCGCGTTTTGAGTCCACATTTAATGAATATCAGTACACAATTCAGGAGTTCAATCAGTGCTGAAGAAAGATTAACGATAACAATAAGGTTATAGGACAATAGTTTTATTCTTTTACGATTTTGTTAAATTTGTATTTGTTTTAGACTACCCATTTAATTTTTTTTCGGTTGAAGAAGTGCGTTCAAGTCAAAAGAACAGTAAATAAAAAAGCTTGTATAACAGTTGGTAGATTAATTTAAATTGTATAAAACTTTTCGTGTCGAACATGCTAAACGCGTGCGGCAGAACAGGACAGTGTGACAGCTCTCATTTAACTGCATGTATTTATCTTTTCATCCCGTCGTCCCGCCACGCCGCAGCACGTTGCAGTGGATCCCGTTCACGCGCCGCAACCGCATCAATGTGACAGCTTCCATTAAAACCCATGAGTTTGAATCATCCCGCCAAACGGGTCCCGTTTAAACCGACCGGCGAAACCAGATAGTGTGTCACCGCCCACCGGCCTAAGTGTTAACAATTTTGATTACACGTAAATTAACCAAATCTTTTATTCCAGTGTACCCCCAGAAGCAGCAGTATGCATACGCTGGGTACCCAGCCCCCACTGCGTATCCAGGACCCTACTATCACGGCTCACAATACGGACCATACAATTACTGATCAGCTGATACCTAGGAATACCTGATTTGACAAACAGCTGATGCAGAAAACAGCTGATTCACACAATAGACTCCATGACAAGCTAGTGATCATTGTCATTTGTTAGGCCTTACAATTTAGAGTAATAATATTGTGATGTGAAAATTGAATTGTATATCAAATTCTCTGTGATTACAATGAATGTGTGGAGAAAGTGAAATTTAATAAGAAGTTTGACTGTAATACTATATAGGCCAATAGTAAATTTGATTATACTGTAATGCTTTAACCAATTATTATCTTTTTTTACTGTGTGTAATCGTATTGATTGTAATTTTGAATACGTAAATCTTTGATCGAGGAAGTTTTTGGTCTTGATAAATATTAATTTGAAATATTATAATGTATTTAAAAACTGAATTTGTACGAAGGATTTTCTCAAAGTAGGCTAATTCTATTATGGATGCTTTATTGATTATAGGCCATTTTGAATTTATGTAAAATAGTGGATCCTATTTAGTTATTTTGATGATTTTTTTTATTGCAAAATCACAAGAGAAAAAATGTATAATGTGCTTTGGTAAGTTCCGAACTGATGAATTATATATGTCAAAAATATAATGTGTACACATGTCTGTTATGGTTTTATACGTCCAATTTTAAAGTGTAATCTATTTATTTTGTACCATATTATAGCCTATTTCCTAGGTTAGACTAGTTTAGTAATGTCTAGTTGTACATAAGTTTTATATTTCAGCAGCATTTGATTCTATTTGTATCAATATGTCATTACTTGATTGATATAATGTTTCTCGTTTGACCAGTCAAGTTGTGCATTTTGTTGCGAGTCTGTAATTTTTACGACCGATTTGCTCACGTTGAAAGATCAGTATTTTTACATTTAGGTTATTTATCCATCTTTTTATGTAGAGTAAGTTTTTTTTATTTTGTTCATGTACAGAATGTAATAGTAGAAAAAATATATCTGAATTGTTGTATTTTGTTAAAAAACCAGATTTAGCTGTATTGAAATGATTGATAATCTAAATAAATATACTTTTCTAATTTTTGTCATTGATTTTTTTCCTTTTGTTCTACTTTAAAATTAAATATACATTTCTATTTTGACTGTTAACTTTTGCTCTTATAACAAATTATATTTTCTTCATTTTGATGATGATGGATTAGTTCTGATGTTAAAAAAAAAACGGTAAGTACTTTTCTCAAAAGCAGTTTAAACACTACAACAGAAGGCTAAAGTTGTTTAGACACAATTTAGTAAATAAAACATTAATATGACCAAAAAATATCTCTTCAACAAACATTTTTCTCACATAAAGTCTCATTCAGTTTCCAGGGGTTATCCTTATTGCTTCGGTCCTAAGACAGTTTTATAAAGGTGGATTATCATATCATACACTTTCAAACAGTAACGAGTTGTCTACACATCTCAAATGTCATGTGTGAATATTGAAGTTACGCAGATTTTAAATGTTGTGTATGTATAATAAAGTACAAAAATTCAAACAGAAGGTGAAAGAAAATAAGCAACTGATTTTAAAACTACTTTATTGTATAAGTGTAGACCTTATCATAATATGATATTTATAGTCAAAGACACAACCTTGGATGGTAATTATTACAAATGTTAAAAGTATATAGAGAGCTTGGTTTTCAATGAGTAACGTATAAAATACATATTGTACACACAACAAAAAACTTAACTTAAATCTCTGTTTCACAAAGGAATTAATTGAAGGGTAGTACACCATCTACTTACTACCTGAGCGTACCATATTGTTAAAATACAACAATACAACAATTAAAACAGCTGATTTTTATCTGTAACAGGCAATGTTTAAAGGATTGCTATCTAAAAACACAATTAACAACTTAACCTAACCACTTCTGAGGTTAAACGTGAAACAGCAAATCAACAAAAAAGAGAAAAAACACTTGGAACCATAAAACAATGATATTTAATTCACATTTTGAATTAGTAAAATATATTTTGTAAATGTATTTGATAATGAAAACATTACTTGATTTTGTAGTTCTTAAGAGGGTTCCACCCACAAGTGTTTACCACGTAAACATGGTCCTACAAAAAAGTACCTCATGGCATTATTAAAGTTTTTATCAAGTTGAAATAAACTGTAAAATATTCACAAAGATCTAAACTATGCACTGGATGAACTGAAACTTCTTAATTGTTTCTTTTAAGTATTTACAAAACAATTTTGAAAATCTGTACATTAATCTTTTTCACATGCGGTTTTAACTTCTAAATAGGTAATTGTTAAAAATGATTTTTGCTTACCACTGCAAGCTCTGATATGTTAAGAGCACAACAAGCACACAATCATTGGGAACAAATTAATTTTAGGATGTTGAAAGCGTGTACCGTAGAGCATGTTTAGCCGATATCTTGAATTAACCAGGTAGAACCCTCTTAAATAAAGTTTAATGTAGGTTACAAACATGGTTTCTCTACTATATAAAAAATAAGGAACTTCCAAAATACATAATATGTTTATTTGTAAAACACAAAGAAGTTTTTTCACTGTCAAACTCTATTTTAACATTTAAATATTCTCATATCAAATAACTCATGAGAAATAAATGTTAAATAAACTCATGAGAAATGTTTTTAAAAACACTTTTTTTCCTTTAGTGAGTCATGTGCTTTATAATTAGATTTTTAAACACAACCATAACTTTTATTAGTTGTATTAGATATTAGATACAAATTTATAAAAATGTAATGATTTTTATTTATTTAATCCATAACACAACGATACCTGATGAAAACTAATTTGTAAAACTCAAAACCAATTTTTTTCTTAAGACACAACCATTAAATTGCACTAACTGAAAACTTATAGTAGTTTTCACAAATATTTAACTATTTCTTTAACTTTATTTATTAATTTATTTAACTCTTTTGAAATATTTTGTTTCATTTAACAAAACGTCCTAGATCATTAGCAAGATACGATTATTTAATTTAGCATAACTGTGCAAACAAATCTTAAAGAGATCAATTAAATCAATCCAATTTAAATAAAAAATTCAATCATAATGTTTGGCTAAACCAAAGCCTAATGCTAAGAAAAATCGGTTAAGTATTACTTTTCCATAAACTAACAACCTTTTTAACGGCATATAAGGCTCTAACCTTATTTAATTATGAACAATAACATTTATTACTTGGTGCTAGTATTTTACATTCACGATTACAGTGATAAAGCTAAAGGTGTATTATAAAATCTAACGTGAAAATATATTCTAATATCACTAACAACAATGGACGTTGATATTACAAGTTTTCATTCCTTCTCGACAAACCTGATTAAAAATGTAGGTTTTTGAGATTTGGAATAAAAAAACCAGAAGCTTACATGTCAATCAAATAAGATGTTTGTCAATTCAAGGGGCAACAATTTTTTTATTTACATTTGGAATTTAATGCAAACACCTACGGTACTTCATTTTAAAATTAGCTATGAATAATAAGTTTTTTAATATTCTTTTATGATAAGTGTTGAACAGAGTTATTTAATTAGATCTTATAATACATGCACACTGCGTAGTGTATAAAAAAACATATAATGATATTCTGTACAACTAGATAATGTTTCATTGAAGTTAATGTATATAAGACAATCTACAGATTGTTCTTAAAGCTTTAGACTTAAAACTAATACATCAACAAAATATAAAACTACTGCACACACATAAGTTATAAACCATACAAAAACTTAATTATTTGGTAAAAAAATAAACACGTGGTAAAATAAGACTAGAGATTTAGCACAAAACACAACCCAAACTTGGTATTGTGTCTAAAAGACAATGTAATAAAATAATATTGTACTTAATAAATAAATAAATATAAAATAAACAAAATAAATGCTTTTTGGAGATTGGTAACTAATGATAAATTCTACATTTTGTCTAATACTGAAAAGGAAGGAGAATAGATTACAACTATTTTAAATCAAAGAAGTAAGAGTAAACATCAATATTTGGTACTTGATTGGCTCTTTGGCTATTGTAGATTATTATCAATAACATTTAGAAACTTTTGTTAATGAATTTGATCTCAATTTAAGTTTTTCACATTTCAAAAGGGAGGATATATCCCTAAACATACCCCTGCTCGAAGTTAAAAATATTTAAAACTGTAATTCTGACACAAATGCACAGAAAATAGTTAATTTACATTTTACTTGTTTATATATTCTTGTGTGAATTGTACTCTTAACTTTGAAACAAATTAGCAGTCATAAGGCATAGTAGTCTAGGGTATACCTTGACCCCACAAATTAGAGTCAAACACTAAACAAATAGTACACTAACATTTACAAAAATGTTAACATCAATAAGAAAACAACAGGGGAAGGAAATATAATAAATTTTGTACATTTTCTTTGAAAAAGCTCATACGTAAGGTCATATGTACTACATTTATTAGTTTTTTAATATTTTTAATTACAACTAAATATAGTTTGCAGTATTTGAAAAAATATTATTAATTCTATCACATCCTATTTTAAATGTATCAGATATTTTCAACAAGTTCGTAGTTTGATAAATTTAAAGTATAACATAACACTGTAAATATAAATGAAGCTCAAAGCCTTTCTTATCTAGGTTATGCTATTTCGAATTAAATTATAACCTAATACTGGAAACTTTAACTTTCTAATACCTGGTGTTATATCTTAATGTGTAGGGTTATAAATATTTGTTCTTTGTTACTTCCTAGTTTTATTGCAATTTTAATATCATTTATGACTAGAAAAACTGTATATGGCAGTAATTAAAATCATATGTCCTGTAACACTAAATCATGTGAGTATTATTGTATAGAAGGCTGTGTCATTAGCACAAGCTGAATCTATTAAAGCCAAGGGAAAATCCAAGACTTTTTTAGGATTGCAGTTTTATACATATAGAAATATATAATAATTCTTTTAAACAATCTATTTAACATCATCCAAGAGAAGATTCCATTTCCAAATCGCCCCTGATTTAAGCATAACTACAGTAAACAAACTGCATTTGAATATATCACATAATGTCGGACGGTTTTATAATAAAACTTTGAAAAAACTTAAATTATTTTTAAATACAACTATATAAGTACACATAACTTACTGCAGTGAAATGCTAACAGGAACTAAGAAGTGAAGAGATGCCTCAACGGCTGAGGAAGCTCCTGTAAAAGATGAATAACATAAAAAAGGGATATCAATTTTGGCATTACCTAAAAATTAATTTTGAAAGAGGCTACTTGATAACAAGTTAAATCGAGGCAAACAAATCTTTAAATTGAATTTAAAGTTTGTAATGAATTAACATTAAGGAAGTGACATTTTGTCTGGCTATCTAGTATTGCTACATTTTTTGTGCCATCACTTCAGAGTGAATACTCTAGTAGGTTTCTACTGTGGCTTGTTATGTTATTTAGGTAGCTGTAGCCAAACAGTGCCATCGTGTAGGGCGACCACCGTGGACCGGGGCAGGGAAGCGCAACAACAGAAATACTAGAATGTGGTAACAAAAATTACAAATAAGCCCAGCTGCTGCAGCACAGTATATTACCATTGACTATAGTCAATGATATTAAATACTTAAAAAAATTAAATCTACACACCGAATGCTGACTTAACAACAAAGGGTATAATACTTGGTATTTTATAGTGAATGGTCCAACAAATAATTATGTTTATGTTTAGAGCTACGTAATGGTAAAATTTTGTTAGGGGTACGTTTTAATTATTTTAAGGCCGCGAATTGCTCGAGCGCACTCGACAACAATGATCAGGCATGTCAAGTGTCCTAGTTCGGGACTCGGCCACCACCACCTCGGAGTGCTAACGTAGCGGTGGTGGGGAGTAGCCGAGACCGCTGGACACTGGACAATTCTTGGGCAGTTGAAACACGTTCTCCCGAGACCATACAGCGGACCTTCTGCGAGCCTAAGTCGTAGATGCGATTTACAACGAGCGAGATAAAAAAAAGAAACAATAATATTAAACGAAATAAGTATCGACAGACGTAAGTACTGCAGTATATCCTTACAGTATTAATCTTATTTTCCCGTTTTACTTTGGCAAATAAAAGTTATTTATTAGACAAGTCATCTTAGTTGTAAGAGATTTGTGTATTATATTTCCCCGGCCGGCAACATCATTTTATTTTATTTGATCTAAAAGTATATTATTTAGTTATCTCGAAGCCAAGAAGTTCATTGGCATATTAGCTCAGATTAATTTTATTTCGATATTTTATTTTTGCAAGTTACGACATTTCTGTTCACTACGAGAGTATTATTTTTAGTTTTTATTTGAGAAGCGATTCCTTTTGTTAGGCCTAGAAGCTGGTCACGTATTTTAGTTCATATAGTAAGCATCGTATTTAGTGCCGATTTATTCCTCGTCAGTGTGTTGTTGTACTGACATTGTGGCCGTGCGATCCAAGTGCATGGCAGAATCATTTTATTTCTTTACGGAGCGTATTATTTTATCGAGCCTAGGTCACACATGGTTGTTAGTTATAGCTGAACTGCTTTTGGTCAGTGCGTTGTTGTGCTGGCGTACAACCATAGTTTACTCGTGCGTGTAGGACGACAAAGGTAACATCTTAGCAGTAGCGAGCGATGGAGACTGTTAGCGTGAGAACCCTGGACTACTCGAGCTGTCCGAGGGAACGGAGGTAAGTTTAGGCTAGGTGACCCTACCCGAACTAAACACCTCACAGCTACATACTGCTGGGTTGCTACTAAAAATATTTAACAAATTAATTAGGAATTTTAAAATTAAACCCTATTACATCTCACCTACCTTTATTGGCCAAGAACTAAAAATATTTGTATAACAAATTAATTAGAAATTTCAAAATTAAACCCTATCTCACTTACCTTTATTGACCAAGGGCTCGAAGGGCTGCATGTATTCTCACATTTAGCCGACTTTCAAAATCATACCCTTTAAAATCACGTTGGGCTCTTTCCAAGAGGGCTTTAGCTTCTTCCTTGTACTGAAAATATAAATATTGACAGTAATAAAAATAATCGATTGTAGTAGAAAACTACTCCAATTACACAAAAACATGTAAACTAAAAAAGTAAAAACAAAATATTTACTGACCCATACACTACTTATAATTACAACATAGCCTATGTGCTCAAGATATTACATGGAAATGAGTAGGAGGCTATCAAAAAAAGGTACATCCTAACAAATTGGACAATCGTTGTAAAAGAATTACAGTAATGTAATCATTGAATTTTCCAATGCAGGAGACACTCATCATTGTAGCAGGAAAAACACATATTGCCTATGTAGGTTTTTGAATAAAGCTGTCCTATACAAAACTAAAAATATATGCTCGTTTTAAACCACAGTATGTGATGGATGCAAAACTCTTGGTCACAAAATAGTAATGCATAAGAATAAGGGAGTAGGCATAAGAAAATTCATTTCAAAATGTAACTTTAATACAACCTAAAATTGAATACCAAAAGTTAATTGTGTGCACACTGATCCATGAGAATTGTAATAGGGATAACAAGAAATTTCAATTTATTCGTACCGGTATTCATGAGTGTACATCAATAGTGTTGTATGCACTAAAAATAAAGCCAAAACTACGTTCTAACTCCTTTAAAATAACCCAAATAGTATGAGAAGAAGTCTATTAAAATGTTTCTATTGTTGTTTTTAATATCAGCTTTTTTCAAAATGTTGTTAATTTCAATTAAAAAACTAATTTTATTTCATGTATTGCAGTGATAATTCGATTCGTTGATTAAAAATTGGAATTGTTGTGTGTTGGCAAACAGTATTCAGTCCAGACCTTAGGCAATGTAAATTAATTATTTAAAAATTGTTCTTTAGCAAAATCGTTGTTGATTTGACATAACTTCTAAAAACTGTGTAAATGAGATGCGCACTACACATTTTCACTGTTGTCTTTACCTCGTAAGTCTCCTGAAGCAGCAGTCTAGCCAGCTCATACAGAGCGAAGGCGCTGACATGGCTGTCCTGCGCGGTGTTGGGCAGATGCTGACGCGCAGACAGAGCAGCACGCAGGCTAGACACAGCCTCTGTGCGCAGACCCAGACACGACTGTACACTGCCTAGGATCAGACTGCGCAGACCCACCATAGGCTCACAATCTGCGGCCGTCTCACAATCTGTTTACATCGAGATGTAAGTGACGATAGGAAAATGTTTATCAGGGTGTTTCTGAATATCGAGGATTTAACGCTTTTTGATTCGGACAACATACCAACGTTTATAACTGTAATTTTTTTCAGCACATTGCAAAATATTATTTGAGCATTAATTTTGTTGGCAACGCGTTACGTAAAGACTCGTTCATCTCAGATAGACTAAATACTTGTGGGTCCCCGCTGAGGAGTTGAGTGTGTGGATGACTGCGGAAACCAGCCCCGTTGCCGCGCCAAACTCCTCAAAGGGGATTGTGTAGCCAGGAGACAGAAGAAAAAGAAATTGTTGTTTTTGTGAAACCCAAACTATTGTTGTGTAATAAACGTTGATTGAATCAAATATTTAATAAAATGTCAAAACTGACTTTTTGGTAGTTATTTTTTACTATGATGTCTCCCTTTTTTTCATGATATGTTTTTTATGCATCTTTGTGTATTTTATTGTACATTTTATCTAACCAATTTCTAAGTGTTACAAAAAAATACTTCCAATGTGAATGAGAGGGTTATTATAGCAAATCTTTAGTTTGTAGTCTACATTTAAGTTATTGAAGTATAAAATAAGTGAGTCGTATAAGTATAAAATAACAACTAGAGGTCGTCCAGTGTTCGAAACTTGACCAATAGTATGTAATGTACAGACTTCTCTATTTTCACCCCACACTGTAAATAAAATATGTTATTGGAATATTCTATTAGTTTTTATTTTCCGTTTTGTTGTGTTTTGTTGTTATTTCATCACTAGTATGTCAACCCATAAGGCCCATGTTAATTTTTTTATTTTAAATTAATTTTGTGTGCTTATTTTTTAGCCTATTTTAAATTTATAAAGGGATTCTGCACATCTAAAGGAAAATATCTTTCTAACAATATGCGTAGATTTTCCCTGCAATGTACACAAGCTGAGAAAAAAGGTTTTAAAGAAACATTCTTGCATAGATATATTATTATTTTCAAAATATTTTTGTCTTCTGTCATACATTTATTCTATAATATAAACTTAATTGGAATTTATTGCTATTGGACAACTCTGAAGATTTTGTTCTACCTAATCCTGATGTAGAAAACACAAAAAATATTTCGACCAAGTTACGTTTTATTTATTGAAGAGTTTTTTTTTATGGCAGATTTTAAAGGAACTTCATTCTCATATTTTAAACAAAATAATCTACAATCAGTAAAGTAAAACAATGTTCCTAAAAATAAAGCCTTATAAGTTCCCTACCAGGTTGGTCACTCCAGGGTATCTCAGGACTGCCACAGGGTTTGCTAACCCCACAGATGTGCATACAGATTTCATGGGTTTCATAAATATGTTAATACAATTCATGGTCAATGCACTGGATTTCAACACCAATAATTGTTGCCCACTTTATAATTGTATGTTTAATAAGCAGTTGCTTTTCCTATAACTACCAAATAACCTTTCATACAAGAAATTTTTTAGTATTTTGAAGTGATTTGTATATGTTATCGGACAAACCTGATTTTAGGATGAACTAGTTTGGACTAGGATGATCTAGTTTTTTTTTCTGATCACCGTAGGCTAAACTTGTTGTGCCTAATAAAGTTTGAATGAACTAGTATAGACTGGCTGAATTGTTAGGCCAACGAGTAGAGTATGGATAAACTAGTTTTGTTGGGTTCAAGGTCGACATCGAACATAAGATTACCTAACCTAACCTAAGTTTGAGATGTTAATTATTCATTACCCTTAAGCTTTTTATGAGTAATAGTATGTTCTGGTATAAAGCAGGCCAATCTGGTTCATCCTAACGCGACCCGGCCAAAACAGTTCCAGCATGTAATCTACAAGGCCAAACTAGTTCAGCATGTAATCTACAAGGCCAAACTAGTTCAGCATGTAATCTACAAGGCCAAACTAGTTCAGCATGTAATCTACAAGGCCAAACTAGTTCAGCATGTAATCTACAAGGCCAAACTAGTTCAGCATTTAATCTACAAGGCCAAACTAGTTCAGCATTTAATCTACAAGGCCAAACTAGTTCAGCATGTAATCTACAAGGCCAAACTAGTTCAGCATGTAATCTACAAGGCCAAACTAGTTCAGCATGTAATCTACAAGGCCAAAACAGTTCAGCATGTAATCTACAAGGCCAAACTAGTTCAGCATTTAATCTACAAGGCCAAACTAGTTCAGCATTTAATCTACAAGGCCAAAACAGTTCAGCATGTAATCTACAAGGCCAAACTAGTTCAGCATGTAATCTACAAGGCCAAACTAGTTCAGCATGTAATCTACAAGGCCAAACTAGTTCAGCATGTAATCTACAAGGCCAAACTAGTTCAGCATGTAATCTACAAGGCCAAAACAGTTCAGCATGTAATCTACAAGGCCAAACTAGTTCAGCATGTAATCTACAAGACCAAACTAGTTCAGCATGTAATCTACAAGGCCAAACTAGTTCAGCATTTAATCTACAAGGCCAAACTAGTTCAGCATTTAATCTACAAGGCCAAACTAGTTCAGCATGTAATCTACAAGGCCAAACTAGTTCAGCATGTAATCTACAAGGCCAAAACAGTTCAGCATGTAATCTACAAGGCCAAACTAGTTCAGCATGTAATCTACAAGGCCAAACTAGTTTATCCTACTGCGATCAGGATAAACTAGATCATCCTAGTCCGAACTAGTTTCCCCTAAAATTGGGTTTGTGCGGTAACATATACATTTAAAACATGTTAAAAACAAAACACGTCATGCAAAGGAAATATTGGAGAAGGAAATAGTGAGTTGTGTAATTAGTGTGCGAAGTGGCACTTTGCTGCACACGAAAGAAATGTTTACGAGAGTGTGGAAAGTTTCTCGAGTGCAGCAAAGGCACTTTGTACTCGCGTTACACATTATATTTTTTCTAGATTAACTATAAAGCATATCAATAATTAGTCTTTAAAACACTCTACATCCAACACATTTTTAGGTCAGGTTAAATCCAAGCGTTGAACAAAATGAGAAACACTGCAACGGCTGATCGTAGTCATGGCATATTTAAGTGTTGCCAGCTTATTTTCAAGCGTAAATGTATTAAGTGCCTAATAAAAGCATGCTGTTTTGTGTTGTTTTGTTTGAATACTGGAGTGCGGCAAAAGTAAGTAAATGCTGCAATTAGCAACTTTGTGTACTAATCAGTGCAAGGAAGCCCAATTCGTCAGGTGACTGTGGGAAAAGTATTTAGTCTAACTCAATCTTCCCACATGTTAAAAAAAAAACTCACTCACCAGGCCGAAAAAATCATGTCTTATCCTGGATGACTATCATGTAATATCCTGTACTATTTTGTTGAGCTTGTTACATAATGTTTATATATATGATTGGTTTTTTGGTATTTGTTTGGTGGAGAGCAGAAAAATTAAAAACTCCTTTTTAATGTGTATCCCGTTTCAGTCCTGTGCGGGGTCTAAAACTCACGTTTTGGGGATTAAAGTCTCACGTACGGATAGTATTGAATGTTACTAATGAATGTCTATGGGACAAAACTCGGAATTCAGATCATATTTAAATGTTGCTAGACTTCTTATATTACTTATAAAGGGATTTTTACATTACATTTTATAGCAATTAACAATGGTTTTGTTTGTTTTCTGCATACAATCAGGATTTAAAATGATAATTGTTTTTATATGTAACATTCTGTTTCTATACTGATGTTGTGAGTTTTTACACCTAGGGCCACTGGTCATTTTTAGCACATTCATTCTAAAGCATACATCAATAAACCCAACCTACCCGACTGATCATTGGAATTTGTTACTTTAGGCAGCAGGGAGAAGAAGGTGTCTTTAGGCAGTAGGAGTGAATAGTTGCGATCACATTGGCAGCTCCCTCTCACGTAGCATTACAAATAGTGCAAGTTATTGTACTTACCAATCCCATTTTATTTTCAGTCAGTTTGTTATCATACTAATTTGTATGCAGGCCACTAATTGTTTTTATATTTATTGTTCAATTAAAGTATTAGTTTTATTCCAAAACATTGATGCACCTGCATCAAAACGATGCACTGTCCAGTGGGTAAAAAAGAGGTTTTAAAGAATTAGTTTAATTTTACCTGACTGCGCAGTCCCTAATCTTGTTCATAATATTCTACATGATTACACAATCTAACACCAATGTAATTTCCATCTTTCGGTGATAATTTTCAATAAGCTGTGTCAAACAATCAATATAATCTGTGAATGATTCATAATTTGATAACTTCTTCATCAGCATTGTAAATGATAATTTGACCAACCCTACCTGTCCCTGTTGTAGCAATTCCAAGTGCAGCGATTTCCTCGGTTTCAGCATCAACTGGGCTAGATTAGGCTATTCAATATTTTCATATTCTACAAGTTTAACTTTTTTAATTTTGATAATTTTCTATAGCTTACCTACATCTTTACTTATTTTAAAACTTTGTTTACACATTTTCATTTCGTTTGGATAATCAATCAATAATCATACGTTATTCTGATGTCTCATTTGACAAAATGATTGACTCCTAGTGAAGCCAAAAACCTTCTTGTAGAGTAAGTAGACCAAGCATATGAGGTATTCTGTCCTAATACTGGGACGGGTGGCGTCGTCCTGTAATCCAGCTACTAGGAGGTTATGAATTGTGGATAATTATAGGGATGCACTGTGGATGCAATGCTCCCTGGTGTGGATTAACGTCCACAGTAGTGAGTACCCCCACTATCCGCAGTACTATCCTAATAATTAGACCAATTCGTTAATTACGAGGAAAAAATGTGGTTCGGATTCCACAATAAACTGTAGGTCCCTTAGTTGCCATTAGCTGTATGGGCTATTAATTAACAGCTGTGTCTAAGGAACATGTCGGCCTTAGTCACTAACAAGACGACAAGATCGCGCCACTCATCCTACACTCATCCTTCACTCATATTTGGGTTAAAATAAGCACATAGTAGCGTCCCCATCTTAAATAATTGATAATTTATAA